TGAGGGACAATTTAAGGCATGTTTTGTTAAAAAGTTAAAACTCAAGGATAGGTCAGTACCCATTGTTTGTGATCCAGCTGCACTTCCAGAAGTAGTAAGTGTCACACCTTATACTTTTTTATAATTACTTGCAAATCGCCTTTGCTCTTCCACGAAAGAGAGGGGTGGGGTGAGCAGAGCTCATTATCATTCAAAGGGACATGCCCTGAAACAAGCCGCTGTAAACAGAGCAAGGTAAAAAAAAGGGTGTTGTGAGGAATTTTAACCAAAGTATGTTGCAGACCTTCATGAAAAACCTAAAGAATCATACCAACTTGTGGAAGATGGGCATCCGATGTCCCCTTTGAAGCACAGCCACCACAAAATCAGACTTACTTTGAGATCATTATGAGGTTAAATGCATATTTAAAATCATAACAAGAAATATTTTATTAGCTATGATACTGTTTTTCAAATCAAATCTTTGTAAATCCTATGACAGGAAATACTGTCTGGAATCTAACAATGCCTTGGAGAAAACAGTTCATCAAAATGAAGCATAGCTACATAAACCCATAAAGGAAATAAAAGAGTTATTGAATAAGCATATTCTAAACTCCTGAAACATTGGTGTTTCATATTTTAGAGCAGTCACTGCAATTTATGAAAGAAATCAATTAAATCTGTATGTGTTAGTGTGTGTAAAAACATCAGATGTAACCCCCTTTGTAATCCTTTAGTAACTGTAATTACGTAATTCTGTTACATGTAACTAGTTACTTCCCAAAACTGTAAAAGCTGTTCTTCAGCCTGGTTGTCCATGATCAGATCTGGACAGCATTGAAGCAAACAGGTGGTGAGCAGGGTGAGTGCAGTCCTTGATGATGCTGTGGGACTTTCTCAAGCGGGGGGTCTGGTAAATGTCCTTTAAGGCCAGGAGTTTATGACCAGTAATGAGCTCAGCTGTTCTCAACACTCTCTGAAGAGCTTGGTAAAATTAAAAATTGTCTAGAGAAACTGAGAAACAGAATGATGGGATTCTTTTAAAGTTGTAATGTTTTTTTGGTAACACTCATATTTGTAATATTTCACAATATTACTGTTTTACTGTATTTTTGATGAAAAATGCAGCCTTGGTCAGCATAAGAGACTTCTCTGTCTTAATTCATGATATCTAATGCATTAATTTCAATGTATTAAACCATTATTGTAAAGTGTTACAAAAAACATTACAACTTTCAAAGAATCCATTCTGTTTCACAATTTCTCTAGACAATCTTTAATTTTACCACGAAGTGGAAGTTTATGTACAGTATCTTCAATCACATTGTCTTCCAGCCTGTGACTTCCGCAGAGCAGTTCTTAGCCTTAGTTCTGACAGCCTCAGGCATTTGTGCTTCTGACCAGCATGTTCTACAACTAACATTAACATTCCGATACAGTGTATCCGGAGGAAAACCTTTCCCACATGTTTGAAACAAATATGGGACTCATTAGCAGGCACTCAAGACTTTCTACCCTCTGCTTGCCTTAACTTAGTCCACTATTACTTCTCACTTAGCTGAGCTGGAACCTTTCCAGATATAGTAACGTGTCTAACCTGTGCTCAGAATGAGTATACATGGGCTTAACATCTGATTGTTTAATGGATCAGAAGCCATGTTAAACTATACTGTTTCCATTTTTAATTACAGCACATCATTCACATTATGACCAGATGATGAGAGATTCTCCTCTTTTTCTAGAAGTAATTAAAACTGAGCCCTTACACTCATTAACACCCCACATCTGATCCCTTTTTACACTTTACACTGTGAGTCATGCACTCTCTCACTTTCTTCCTAATAATCTCTCATGTAGGAGACAGTGTGCCAAAGTTACAAACTGGAACCAGAAAGAACAGATGACAAAATTCATACCTAGGCTTTTTGGATTTGGTCTCCATATCTCTTTGTTGGCAAAATACATGTACATCATTGCAGGTGAGATTTTACACAACTCTCAAATATCACCCCAAACCCACTACCTGATAATGTTCTCCATATACACGACTCCCACCAGTCCCCATGAGACCCCCATCCCCCATCTCCACCCACCCTGCTCTTGTAAGCAAACACAAGGAAAGTGTTTACTCTTGAACGTCAAAATGGAGGCGGTTTAAATATTTAAAAGTGCCTCTTTCCCACCCTTTAAGAACTCAGCAATTTGGTTTAAGACAGGATAAATATTTAAACATAAAAGGACATATTGATTGATTGATTGATTGATTACAAAAACTGTAATTGAGAATGTTATTATGTTATACTTGCATAATCATGACTGCAGGGGTCCTGATAATGTAGTAATAATATACATTTTTATAATAATAAATAAAATAATTAAAACAAATGGCAATAATTAATATATTTTTGAATAATATTAATTGTTTATTCAATAAAAATCATTTAGAAAAAAGGTCAATTTTTGTATGAAAAAAATATTAAAATGACGAAATGAACATATATGAATGAAATCAATGCTTGTCATATATAAAAAGAAAAGAAATGATCATTCAAGCAGTAAGAAAAAAAAAAGTCATCAGACACATTTGTAAATTAAAACATAAACAGAGAGGGTGCTATAAATTTACATGAAACATTCATTCAACATGGCCATTTAATACACGTTTGGGCCCCATTGGCATCTTGAACACATCTGCTGCATAAAACGTGGGGTTGGAGCCCTTTACACAAAATGATTCTCTGTGTGAGGTACACAACTCTAAATGCATGCAAACACACTGATTAGGGCTTCATGTCTGTGTATAAAAGTGTCATATGGAATCGTTCCCTCTCAGTATGACAGTCTTGATGGCTAAACTTCACTTTGCTGAGCAAGCAGAGGTCAGTATGAGGCATGAACATGAATTATTGCACACAGCTGGACGGCACTCCCTCTATCGTAACCATCCTCATGCACTGATATGTAGGGTCTCTCTCTCTCTCACCCATCACACACAAAGCCATCCTTTCTTTTTCACACACCCCCTACTCAACCATGCCTGACTAATGGCTGCATTATATCTTGAACAGAGCCTCTATGAATCGGGCCCATCTTGAGCAGTATCTAAGAGCCCATAACCATACAAAACTTTCACTCCTTCCTCCAGTCCCCACTTCTTCTCCATCAGCCCCAGCATAACCCAATCCATGCAAACCCATCACTTTACAGACCATTATCTTAGAATGAAAAGGACTGCATTCAATAAGGGCCTCCTTACATTTTCAGGGGCTGTTAATCTTGCTGTAGCTTCTGCCAGATACATACATTCAGTACCATCAGTGTAAATTCAGAGGATTTGGCAACGCCCATACAGTCGCATACTGGGAATAAAAAGGTCCACTGCGTGTATCTTCAGCTACCAATATGCTCCTGACATCACTGGTCATCAGAAGCCAATCTCGCATTTACCCTCAAGGAAAGGTATTAGATCTGCACTCAGATGTGAACAGCAGAGCCACTTTACACAGTCTATTCGGTGATGGCTCACAATCCCCACTATCTGTCAACAACTGTTAAACATCTGCTAAATTACCTGCAGCAGATGGTTTAGAGCTTATGAAATACTGTGGTGAGCTGAATCTCTGTGGGTGTGTGTTCATGTGTATAGTGGGAGGAGTCTTTTAGAGATGAATAGTGGAATATTACAATTAAAATCTGGTTCATTATGTCTGCATCGTCAACGTGATAGCATTGAGGAAATTATGTTCATCCATGGTAAATCATTTTTTGTCTTATTCCTCATCCTCTTAAGCATCTGACGATTTAATAAATAACCAACTTTTTACAATTTAGGCTGTGCAGTTTTTCAGTATTGCATTCATCTACCACACTCTTATATGCACAGACACAGAAACGTGCAAGCTGAACCGTAATTTCATTCATTCATTAATTCATGCATGAAGGGATCAAAAGTGGTTCTTACCTTGTGCTTCGGCATGTAGACTGCTTGCACAGACCACCAATGCAAAGGAAAAGAGAGCGATCATCTTGTATTTTTTGTTCTTAGCCTAAAGGCCTCTTGACTGAAAAAGCAAATGAACAAAAAACGGGGGGAAAGAAAAAAACGCAATTAGGTGATAAATCTGGTGAGTGTGGAAAAATACTTTCTTCCCGTTGTTGTCGATGAAGAGGTGTAGGTGTTGGTAGTTGTGCCACAAGAAAGATTGGGCTCCGCAGAGGTCCATACAAAAGGCTTATATTGAAGCCTTGGCCAATTGTGGCCACTCCCCCTCCCCTTAGAGAGAGATGAAGCCCATCACCCTACTTTTGTGTGTGTGTGTGGACTCCCTCATTTAAGAACAGCTTCCCTTTCTGCCATGCATGGCTCTCCGTTTAGATTTAAGGAGAGATGTGTGGACCACAATGTGTTGTTTGTGGTACATTATGGTTAACAGTAATTATTTAAGAATGTCTTTAAAATGAGAAAAAGGAACTTCAAAGACTGGAAATATTATTTTTAAACCTAATAAAGGACTATGTGACACACTATGTTGGTTTAAATACAACTTAGGCACTTCAAATGTTTGCTGGATTACCTTTATATAGTTACTTATGCATCTTATCTAATATCATTCTCAGCATGTAGTTTAGGCTTTTCAAAGCAAATCTGTTCAATAGCAATCATGTCTCACTGGGAACAATGGGCTCCTCACTAAGAATATATTAATACAAAACACTGAACATCATTCATATGCTCTCCAAATGTTGAATTACACAACCTGTCCACCTGCTTATGATACATGTCTAGTGCAGTGTGACTTTGCTGATTGAATTTTGATTTGCTCGTACCTGCTGTGCTGTGATATTTTATGTCAAAGCCTGCCAGACAGATTTATGATCAACCAAGGAATCCAAGAAACACCCACCCTCCCATCTGCCCCTCTCCATGGTTCCTCTCCCTTTTCAGATTACTTAATGGAGGCTTGTATTGATAAGGTAGGGATGTGGTAAAGATATGACCCACTTCACCTAAACAAAAGTATGTCTGGATGCTAAAAACACCTCATTATCATATGAGAGATAAGATGAGGATGTGGAAGGAGAATGTGTGGTCTGTCAGGATGTTTTCTTAGTGGTCCCAATGGAGTGATGGTGAAAGTGAGTAACCTGTTCAACACAGATGATGTTTTAAGCCTCCATCACAGCTATTTCAGCTGTGATTTACAGATTGTAGGTGAGGCACCCTCCACCCCCACAGGGCCCCGTCGTGTAGACTAAAGCTCCATTGAGTCATATGTTCCCCACCGTGAAAGACAGGGGCCATTATGCCAAAACCATCAGAGTGACTGATTTACACAAAAACTATGGAAAATGAGGAAGGGTCAGTGGATCGGAACACGACTGACTGGAAATCTCACCTCAGCGAGGATGACTCATTTTCATTTATGTTTCATGGGTTTTCACTTGCGTACTGAATGGTAATAATGTGGGTCTTAAACACTTACTAATGTTTGATTACCCCAGATGAAGTCACGAGTTGCTTATTATTTTGTTCCAAATGCTTAAAGACAAAATAACCAATTTACTGAAATAATAATTGTGGTTATGAGATGTGGGCAATTTGATTGCTTCTCTTTACTGGTTAATTCAGGAAATTGAGGTCATTTTCATTTTTGCTAAAAGTGTAACACGGTGTAGTTTTCGGTTGTTAAGCTGGTAAAATTCACTGCTGAAATCTTTGAATGACTAGTGTACAATGGCAGAAGAGTACAAAAGCTTTAAAAGATGCTATACAGATCTTTAAATGCCCTGTTAAAGCCAGTGAACAAAGGAATTCAGGATATATAACCAATAAAAGGATTTTATCTCTATTAAAGACAAAAAGTGTAGAGCTTAAGCTTGGCCTAAATCCTTCTGCTCTATTTCATTATGAAAGTTAGGCTAGGGAGTTGAAACCATGTCTGGTTGTACTGTACGGTATGTGGCTATAAGTCATAGTGCACATCTGGAACATTTATGGTACGTTTAACCATGCAATTCATTCGGGTTTGTTCAGGTCTTCACCAAGAACTAATTTTTACTCTTGAAATGCCCCTAATTCTTGCCTAGTGATGGCAACACAATAAAAACACAAGCTTTTACAGCAACACCTACCAAACAAGCTTCCCAGTGTTTAATAGATGACGTATGTTAAATCTCACACTGAAGGAAAAGTTCACTAAAAAAGCAATTACTTACCCTCATATTACTTTTTCTTTCTTTCATGAAACATAAAATGAGAAATTTATAACATAATGTCCCAGATGCTCTTTTCCATTCAATGAAAGTGAATAGTGGACGTGGCTATCATTTTTATGATTTTTAGCAAATACTTAAAACACAAAAATTTCAGTCTGTTCCTCACACAGAGCTATCATAATGGCCTTTCGCACCGCGGGAACCTTTTCATAGTACCAGAACTAATTGTGGAACTACCCACTTTTTGCCGTTTTCGCA